CCCTGGCCTGTCACTTTACTAGTGCCATTTTTGTATCAGAGAGCACAGGACTGGATGTGGAATTCTACTTGCAGCCTAACCAACAGACTAAAGAGGGATAATAACTTCCCTTGATCTGCTGCTGTGCTCTTGCTTATGCAGCCCAGAAGGCTGTTGCTGTTGGTGCCAGGGCATGCTGCTGGCTCATGTTCACCTCACTGTCTGCCAAGACCCTCAGGTCCCTCTCTACAGAGCAGCAGCTCCTCAGCTGCTCTGTGCCCAGCCTGTATCATTGTGGGGATTTCTTCTTTTCCAGGTGTGGGTGTTTGCATTTGTCCCTATTGTATTTCATAATATTTCTGTTGCCCCATCCCACAGCCTGTCCAGGTCACTGTGGATGGCAACACTTCAGCATATTGCCAGGTCCCCCCAGTTTAGTGTCATCTGCAGACTTGATGAGAGTGTTCTCTGGCTGTCTCAAGTCGTCAGTAAAGATGTTATACAGGACAGGTCCCAGTATAGACCCATGTGATACTTTGGTTGTTACACTTACCTTTAAATGGGGTGTGGCCAGTTAACCATCCAGCCAGTTTTTAACTGTCTAACTGTCCACTCATTCAGACCATAACAGTTAACATGGATTCAAGAATATTGTTTGTTTAAAGTACCACTGCAGTTGGTAAATTTTTCCAGTGGTTAATGGCCTGCTCAATATCTTTCACCTTAGTGAAATTGTTTAGTTGTACTTTTAGCCATAAGAACATTTTTTCCTGTTTCCTGATAACAGAAGGATTCCTTTACCGTAAAGAAAATTTCTGCTGGTGCATTTTTACAGGAGACTCTTCAAGTTAGACAGAATTGGGTCAAATTCAATAAATTGTTTCCACTTTTGGAACACATTTAATTTTACGCTTGGAGGTGGAAATGTAAATGTAAGAAAAGAACAGGTTTTATGGCATTGGTCTAAGGATTAGAAAATATAGTTGTGTTGTTGCCACTTTGTTGAACTCGGCATCTTCTCTGCTCCCCTTTTGTGTCAGGTGGTGACTGGCTCTTTCACCCCAAGCTTTGTCACAGAAACACCACGCAGCATTTCTTAATGTGCATTGTGTTTCATCTTGTAGCAAGTGGGATCACTGGAGGAGTTCTTAACTGCATGGTCTCCTACCTTTAAAGTTTCTTTTCTAACTCATGAATTGTAATGAAGATAAACAATAAAAGTTGCACCAGAGGTTAGGAACTTGGAACTGGTTGCTCTGTGGACTGGCTTCAAAAGAGGTGAAAGTATCATCATACAATCATGTATTCTGGTCTCCCAAATAAACAGAATGTGGTGATGAGGTTTCAGGGGCATAAAACATGGACTTTACTTTTTGTTTTTCTTTTGCCATTACGGCAGGTCTTTTACCCTAGGTATGGGAGCAATTATACTCCCACAATAATTTTAATGCCACAACTGTGTGGCACACCTGACATATAAAAGAAGTTGGTATATTTTTGTTGCCATATTTTTAACTAACCTGCAATAATGTTCTGGTCTTTTATTTGTCTTTTAACATTGTATAATCCTACACTCTGTTTTAGCATAGCAGGAGGTTAACAAAAATACAGCATGTGTGCTTAGGCAGTAATGGAACCAAAAAGCATGAGAGTTGTTTTAATGTGTTAATGGCATTTTCAAGAATGATGCTTTTTGCTTGTTTGGGTTTTTATTTTAATTATTTTTATTGGAGACATAGCTAACCAGATTTTTCTTCTTCTTCTCTAGGCTGTGACTGGTTTCCAGAGAATCTTGTCTGCATTAACTCTTGCAATGTTTCCCACCCTTTATTTTTTTACATTCCTTTATTATACGGACCCAGGATCAGTATTTTTTACTCTCTTTGCCTACTTGATGTGCCTTTATGGTAACCATAAAACATCAGCTCTCCTTGGATTTTGTGGCTTCATGTTTCGTCAGACGAATATTGTGTGGACAGTGTTTTGTGCTGGAAATGTTGTGGCAGAGAAGCTAAATGAAGCCTGGAAGACAGAGCTGCAGAAAAAGAAAGATGAAAAGATTTCTTCTAGGAAAGGATCATTTTCAGATTTGATCAGAATATTTCAGTTTCTTATTGAATATCTCCTGTCCCCTAAGAACTTAGTTACACTTACTGCTTTAACTTGGCCATACATCATATTAGTAACTATATTCTTTGGTTTTGTCTTCACCAATGGTGGGATAGTTGTTGGTGACAGAAGTAGCCACGAAGCCTGTTTTCACTTCCCTCAGCTGTTCTATTTTCTGTCCTTTACTGCCTTTTTTTCATTCCCTTATTTATTGACCCCTACTAAAATCAGGAGATTCCTTCTGTCATTACAAAAGCACCCCATGCACTACAGCTTACTCGCCATCATCTCTTTATTCCTGGTCTGGAAATTTACCTATGTTCATAAGTATTTACTAGCAGATAACAGACACTATACATTCTACGTCTGGAGAAAAGTCTTTCAAAGACATGAGCTTGTAAAATATTTATTAGTTCCAGTCTATATATTTGCTGGCTGGAGTTTTACTGATACACTAAAATCAAAATCGATATTCTGGATCTTAATGTATTTTGTATGTCTGCTAGCAGTCACAGTTCCTCAAAAACTGCTAGAATTTCGTTACTTTATTTTGCCATTCTTAATATATAGGCTCAATATTCCATTTCCATCTCTATATAGACAACTTCTGGAGCTGGCTTTTTATATTGTTGTGAATGTAGTGACTTTTAATCTTTTTCTAAACAGAACATTTCAATGGCCAAATAGTGATGAAATCCAGAGGTTTATGTGGTGACTTTTTTTTTTTTAATACATCCATACCATTGGGAAAACCCCATTCCATTTCAGGACTGGACTCTGCAGGGAAGCAATATGGTTTACCTTATGTAAGGACTTTTTTCCCCAGTCAGAACTGGGGCAGTAAGCTGCTTGCTTGTTCCTTGGAACTGAATGCGAGGTCTGATCTGTTGTAATGTGAAGATACTCCATATATTGAATTTGTGAGCTTCTGGAATTAACAAACTCAATATGAGGATAAATTTGAGAACACCTTTCTGTAATTAATGTGAATTAAGGGAGATGTTTACAGTTATTTTTCCTGATAATAAAATATTATATAATATGCCTTTGAATGTATGACACCGTTTCAGAGGTTTCTCCTTAAAACAAAGTATTGAAGTGTTTTAAGTATTTAACCTCTATGTTACTTGTAGGTGCATATTTGCTCCTTGGACCCGGCCACTTCCATCTGGGTTTGCTGGCAGTCGCAACATGAACCACTGCTAAACCATGTTTTCAAAACCTCCTACATCCCACTGAATTTCCATGATTTCTTGGTCAATAAATGCATACATTAGTTTTGCAAACAGAATGTAGGCTCTTAAATCATTAGAACATTTTGACTATTTTAGTTCAAACTGGTATTTAGAAAATACAATGAAGGCTGTGCGCACGTACCTTCTCTGGGGGAATAAGTGCTATTGTACAACAAAAGATAAATTGCAGTTGATAATGTGACCTATTAGAGGGGAGTAGTTTCTGTATGTGGGACTGAAACGTGTGGTTACCCAGTGGGATGCAGTCTAATGAACACCCTTTCAAATAATCGGACTTTTGTGTCCTGAGGGTCTGTGTTCACGGGTTTGTACTGAAGTAGGATGTGAGTGCACTCAAGCTGAACTGGGCATTGGTGAGATCTTTCATGTGTAACCTTAAAGAAATACGAATGGCATTACTGGATTGTTCTTTGAAATGCTTTTCATCTATATATACAAATCTAATGGAACTAGGGAGTATATATGTCGTTTTACAGAGGTAAAATACAATGAGTGTAGGTATCTATATATACATATTTAAAAGCATCTAGTGTGTTATCATCAGAATAAAAGGCAGCTGTAATGGTTCCTGACAGTAAACAACTATTTAGACTCAAAAAACATTTGATTGCTTAAAGTTAACTGTTAAGCAGTTTTATAAATACGGGGGGGATCCCAAACTTCACTTACTGCGTAGCGGAACGTCTTTAAGTTCTTTCTTGCTCTGTAGTGAAAATACTGCAGCCAAATCTATGCAAACACCATTTTATTACCACTCCAGTCACTCAGAAATGGAATTGTTTCTCAAAAGGTCAGTACCATGGAGTTATTTAACTCCCCTCTGTATTGCATTTTCTTTTACTTTACAGTATGCAGATCAATGTCCTGGCTCTGATCCCTTCCCTGTACTAACACTGTGAAGAGTGGCTAACTCAGATTCCCCTGTCCAATGTCTTTGTACCCCTGTTTCTTCTAAAGAAACCTTAAGGGCACTCTTCAATGAGTAGGTTTATTTGTTTAGGGTTCAAAACATTTCCCAGGTGACTGTTTGCTTGTTGACCTATTGCCAGTATGGCAATTTGCTGATAATGTGTGCACCATAGGGAAAGCCATTTTCAGTCACTCCCTATTTGGTCTGTCGAGTTGAAGGGACAAGAGGAACATGAAATGGGTTGCTGTTCAAGAATATGACATGATTCTTGCAGAGTCCAGGATGTTGTCTTGTGATTTTAGTATGACAAATTTAGAGGGGGAAGTCTCTTGCATGCCTTCTACTTCCAATTTTGGTTTTGTATACCATGCTGGTAAAAATGGAGACATGTGCTTTAGTACAACTTCATTTGTGCCCTCCAATTTAGTACTGAGTTGAAATGGTAACGTGGTGAGGGATGGGGCTCTGGAATTCTGAACTGTCTTCTAGATCTGTTTGTTTGGTGGTGTTTTTGTTTTTTTCCCTTCTGGCTTTATGCAGAGGAGTAGGTGCTCCTTCGCTTGGTGAGACGCAAACATTCCTGGGCTTACGGAGTCCACTGGTGTTTTGTTTTGTCCAGCATGTCTATTGACAGTGGTATCTGAATGCCCCCGCTTACCAATACTGTTAAGAAATGGTTTATAGGCTTCCAACTTATTTCTTAACAGATATTGGCCATGTTCCAGGTGAAAAGAACTGAGTTTAAATATATAAAATTTCACTGCATTTCTTTTGTTCAGAAAAGTTAATACAAAATGTAGAACTTGATAACTTCTAATGCACTCCCCACTACAAGACACTAGAAAAATTAGATATAGAAAAGATGTCTGTGAACTGCTGGGTTTTTTTTAACACATATTGTAAGATAGCATAATATTTTATAACAGGATTTATCAGTATATATAGTTTGAGAGTACAATTATTCTCAATGTATTTTGCTTATTAAAAAGCAGTCTGAGTTGATACAAGTTTAAATTAAAGAGAAAAGTCCATGAATTAATAAAACAGAAAAGGAAGATTTACTTTTAGAGTAAAGCTATATTTTCACTTTTGCTGATGAACCACAGGGAATTTTCAGGTAATGTTCAATGTTAGCCTCATTCAGTCTCAGAAATCAGAATGATTATATCATAATTAGTTGTAAAGAAAGGTCTCCAAATTCTTTCAACATCTCTTAGAAATTTGACAAATATTAGTATCAGTAGCACTGTTTAAATCTAGATAAAATAATTAGTTAAACATACTTTAAAATCTTGGAGCAAGTATCTTTTGGAAAATCAGTATTTTAGTATTTTGCTCCTGAAATATTTCTGTTGCAGCTGTTTGTATTTTATTAGCTGTTTGTCTTAAAGACATGCAGAAAGGACTGTGTTTATTCTGGTTTATGTTGCCAAAGTCTTCTAGTTTCAGTAGAACCATAATTGCCTACTTTAGGTTAATTCCTCAGCAGGTGTCATTTGGCAGTGAAATTACTTGCAACAGGATTAAAATGATAATTTATTGTACATGTATTAATTTCTTATCCATTTAGAAAAAAAATCACACAGATTTGTTGAAATGTCCTAGATAAAAATGTTAGTTATGCTATTTTTTGTTTTCATAATTGCTGTTTAAAAATAAAGACTCAGGTTCAGTTTTTCTCAGACAGAAAGAAGATGATGATTTTTCAGTAACTGTCAGAATAATAAAAATAGAGAGCTGAGCAGCCACAGCATGGCTGAGTAGCTTTGAGGTGGAAAAGAAAAAGAAATTAATGGAACACATTATTTTTTTTTTCCTTTTGGGTAAAAATAGTTGGTTATTTGGAAAGATAGGAAGTTTGTTTGATAATGCTCTATGCTGTGAACTGGATTTTCTCTTACTTGTGAGCATTCTGTATTTCATTCCTTTCGAGTTCTTTTGACAACACATGTTGGAAATTACCATGAATTTTACACTATAAACAATTTGTGCATGCTGAAATAGTTTTTTATCTATTACTTTTCTTGTGAGTAGATAAATCGGAAGTATTTCTTCTGTTAAAAATATTGTAGGAAAAAGTATTCTGTAGTCTCTGGGGTCAGAGAGTTGATTTTTCTCATGCTAATGCAGGTCTGCTCTGTTTCCTTTTCACAAGGTGGCAGTCCTGTGCCATCTTGAGGGTACCAACTGCTTAATGCAATGCTGCCTGCAGTCACCACCTCAGGGTTTTAGCAAGGCTGTTTCTGAGAAGTAGAGAACTTCAAGTTTAAGTGACAGGTTAAGCTAAAATATCTGTGTATGTAATTTTAAATATATAGTATGTTAAGTTTTAGAGGAAGAGCAAATATTGTTTGCCTTTAAATTTTTTTTGTATTTTTGGAATTTTCATGTCTAGTCTGAGAACAAAATGAAACTTGAAAGCTTACTGTTGAAATAGTGTCATTGTGTCAAACAGTGTGGCTGTTTAGAAAGTTAGCAAATTTTTTTCAGTTTTATTATGAAATTTCACAGAATTCTTATTTTTTCACATTTTCATTTCTGTCTAAAGAAAAAAATGGGAGGACAAATTGAGGAAAGCAATGTAATTATACTTTACTTTTCAAACTGACACCTCATGGTTTTCTGAAATACTCCATTTAATTGGATAGGGATAAGAAATACAAATGTTCAAATGCCTGTTTGCCCTGTAGTAGTTGACATGATGCATTTCAAATACGTCATCTAATTTTTGTGCAACAAAAAAGTGTAAAGCCAGAATCCAAGAAAATGCCTGCTTCCAGGGATCTGAGTTCTTTGTCTGTGTTCTTGATGATAACACCAAGCTGTGTGGTGTGGTTGCCATGCTGGAGGGAAGGGACACTGTCCAGAGGGACTTTGACAGGCTTGAGAAGTGGGTCTCTGCAAACCTCACGAAGTTCAGTAAGGCCAAGTGCAAGGTCCTGCACATGGGTCAAGGGAACCCCAAGCACAGATACAGAGTGGGCGTTGAGTAGATCGAGAGCAGTCCTGAGGAGAAGGACACTGAGATCTTTTGAGATGAAAAACTGAATATGAGCCAGCAATGTGTGCTCACAGCCCAGAAAGCCAATTGTGTCCTGGGCTGCATCAAGAGAAGTGTGGCCAGCAGGTGGAGGGAGGTGATTCTGCCCCTCTGCTCTGCTCTGGTGAGACCTGGTGTGGAGTAGCGTCCAGCTCTGGGGTCCTCAGTCCAGGAGAGATACAGACCTGTTGGACTGGGTCCAGAGAAGGGCTGTGAAGATGATCAGAGGCCTGGAACACCTCCCCTGTCTGGACAGGATGAGACAGTTGGGGTTGTTCAGCCTTGAGAGGAGAAGGCTCCAGGGACACCTTGTTGCAGCCTTCCAGAACTTAAAAGGGAATCTACGAGAAAGATGAGGAGGGACATTTTAGGAGGGCCTGTTGTGACATGACAAGGGGTACTGGCTTTAAACTGAAGGAGAGTAGACTTAGATTAGATATAAGAAAAGTTCTCTATTAGGGTTGTGAGGCACTGGAACAGGTTGCCCAGAGAAGTTGTAGATTCTCCCT